ACAGGTCAAACCCTATGCCAAAGGATAAATGGACACAAATCTGACATCAAGAATCACAAGTCTGAGAAACCCGTAGGAGAACACTTCAGCCTTCCAGGACATTCAATGGATGACCTCAAAGTAGCTGTTTTATTACAAAGGAACTTCAGGAACAGAATGGAAAGAGAAACTGCTGAATTACAAGTTATTACAACACTTGAAACAAAAACCTCCCCAGGACTCAACAAGGATATTGGATTTTTATCCCATTACATATGCTAACTCATTCAGTCCTCACCTATGTATTCTCAACAAGACGGACTATAAATCCTCTGTATTCAGAATGGATGTCTGCTGACAATAGGGGTCCCAAATCCCCCCGGGTCTTTATTATTTAGTTTTTTTTCACTTTGCATAACTTAAACATCATCATGTTACATGTTAATTTGCTGATAAATCCCTGGCTCTAAGTTTAGAACCGCATCTACCATTCCAATGTATTTGAAAAAGTGTGCCTTGCACACAAAAAAGCTCATACCTTGAATAAACCTTTGTTGGTCTCAAAGGTGCCACTAGACTCTAAATTTGTTCTACTGCTTCAGACCAACACAGCTGACTACCTGGATCTACACTATTAAGGAACAAACTACACCTATTTCTCTTTTACTATATACCTCATTCCTCACCTCAATCTTGTGAGGTTTCTTGAGGAAAAATTAGGACTGCACAGAACTGGCTGATGAATTTCGGGGCTGGTCAGCTGTAGTAGCAGCAGGCCTATGACCAGAGTGGGGCCAATGAATGAACCACCCTACCTTACCCTGATCACCGTTTCATCCCACCTAATTCCCCTGCTCCCTCACAAAAAAACACAGACATTTAATTTATGACATGACAGTTTCCGTTTATGGAATAAGATCTTTCATGAATACTTTTGGTTCAAGAATCCATATTTAGTTACTTTACTGTTGGCATAGCAACATCCTTAAAGGGTGCAGGGGTAACTTGAAGCAGTGGGGGTTGAATCTTCTCTATCCAAGCTGTTCAGGGACTGCATTTAGCCATGTTGTCAGTGTTCTCCCTGCCCTCTGCATAGTTGCTAGGGAGTGTCTGACCCTATCTTGAAATATTACCAGCCCACCCAGGGGTCATTTCGTAGAAAAAGAGGTGCAGGAGCTCATTAGCATAACTCATTTGCATGTGCCACACCCCCTGACATCACCAGAAGTGTGTCAGAAGGCAACACCCACCGCTCAGGCTCCACTGGACTGTTTTGGATTGCTAGCTATTGGGGGGGGGGATGTGCAGATCTGTCCTCGCAGAGGAGGGAGAGCTTGTATCTGAATAAAACTTGGTCTTCAAGGTGCCACTGGACTGTTTTGGACTGTTTTGGCTCTGCAGCTTACCTGGCTGCTTCTTGCTCTGACTGAGGGCAACTGGGAGCAGGGGGTGGGGCTTGTTGCATGTGCCCGCCCCCTGGGCTCTTTACTGCCGGAGCTCTGCTCCTGCGTGCTCCTGCAGGAAATGACCCCTGAGCCCACCTATTGAGGAATGTTGGCTACATGCCATAGTGAAGGCACGTCCATGTTCAATATGAGCTCCCAATCTGTATGAATGCAGAATGCTACATATACACCTGTGAATTTTCCTTGTGTGTACATGCATGCTTTGGGGCACATTCCTCTTCATCTCCTCCCTCCCCTAGAACAATCACTGTTATCCCTAAGTTCATTAAATCATTAACATTCCCTAGAATTTTTCACATAAAAAATGGCTGTCCTCTTCACTAACAAATAACCAGGGCCATGCTGTGAAGTCTAAACTGACTAGCATCCCAAACCCAAAATGAGGACCAAGATTTTGAGGGTTACAGTAGTATAAGAATTTAAACACACACACACTATCAATGTATACCACAATGCATTTGTTGAATAAACAAACGTGTTTTCTTCATAGTTTGTTTCTTTGACTACTGATTCAGAACTGCAAAAATTTGATTTAGAAGTGCACATTTTGTGTTGAAACATGTTAGGGAACATCTGACTCCATGCATTTGAAGAGGGTGTCTTCACCGCACAACAAAGACTGATGGCAATTCCTCAGAAAGCTGATGTGGAAGCCGCCCAAGTCCTAGTGTTTTTAAAACAACTTCGGACATATGTTGTTGGTGCATTTTTGCCCTCTACACAACCATCCATTTCATTTATTCACTAGATTATTATCCTGCCCATTCTCCAAGAAGCTCAGGGCAGTAATTGGAGTTGCTAACAGGCCTGGAGAAAAATGTCCAGTCCCTTAAACAGAGGTTTAGTGTGTGGAAATGAGCAGCTGAAGCTTTGTGTGGTATGGAGCTAAACAACAAAGCACATGATAAAGCATGACAAAGCACACCCCATTACTCTTCTGTGTAAGGAACAGGACTTCCCCCCCCCTCCATAGCTGGCAATGCTAGGCAACATACTTTGTCCCACCTCCAATTCTAACCTCCAAACAACTCTGTGAGGTAGGATATGTTAAGAGAGTGACTGGACCATGTTCACCCAAGGAGCATAATGATGGAATGGGCCTCCACTGGGGTAGAATGAAAAAACAAAGGCTGATTCTGCATTGGCTTTTCCCTCTGTTGTTTTACAAAACTCATGTTGGAACAGAAATTCCCCCCTGCATTGCATGCTGCTTTCGCTTCCTTTGATCATCAGGTGTTACGGTACCTTCTGTGTAGATTCATGGCCATTCAGGGGTGACTTTGCAGTCAGTACAGCATTGCCCCGAGGTATTTGAATGTAGTTTTGAGCGGCACTTTTCCCTCCCAGCTGAGAAAATGTGGAGTGAATGCTAGATGCAGAATCGCCTAAAGACTCTGAGAATCAGGAAGCCGATTCCACAGAAGGATCACATCGACATTTCTAAAATGGGCTGCATGTTTCCACTTCCCCAAATAGTGAGAAGTTCAAGACAAGTGCTGCTGAGTTTAGTTATCTTTGGCCCCGGTCACACGGGAGGATTTGCCCCGCCGGAGGGACAGATCGGGGGCACATCAAGCGGGCACGATCATACCGCAACATCTGGGAAGCGGCGTGCACCCGTCCCCGATCCATCTCTTCCGGCCAAAGATGCGGAATTAAAATAAACCTGCTAAGCACTACTACCTACTGGAAAATCCGCGGCATAGGCGGCTGTGTGAGTGCCGACGCGCCCGTCTCCCGCAGCATGCGAGTTCCTCTGCCGAACTGCGCAGGTGCACACATGCGCAGCAAGCTCGCCTCGCTCACCAATCTGTGGCCCCCCCCCCCCGGGATCTGATCATGCCGGGGAGCAACTGCGCAGCGGCTCGGGGGATCTGTCTGATCCTGCCGCTGCGCTTCTCTTTTGATGCGGCTCAAAAAAGCAGCACTTCAGCCGCACCTTTTTCCCCAGTGTGACCGGGACCTTTGTATATGAGAGTACTGGAGATTTATGCTGTCTTTGACCTTTCCCCCCAGGGCTGTATGCCTGGTGGAAGTGGCCTGGATGGCTGCTATGTAGATGGGAAAATTCTCCCAGTCCCACCCACATGGCAGTCATTTTCTCTGACACTGTCCTCCCCTATAGGGCAGGGCTGCCGTCCACAGCTGGCAACCTGCTGAGAGAAACGGGAGCGGGGGGGGGGGGAGAGAAATAGGCTTGCCAACATCATGACAATGCCACTTCCAGTGCCAAACTGGAACTGATGTCATCACAGCTGGGCAATATTCTAGAATTCACCAAAACCTAAACTGGCATGTGAAGTAGTGGCAGGGAATGGGGGGAGGGGGGCAACCTCTCATGTGAAAGCCACATCATTGCTGTTTTGTATCAGCAGTGGCAGCACCACCAACAGGGGAACCACACATACCTTTCCCCATGTAGCAAACACCAAGGCTTGTGGTAGGAGGTTTGACTGGAGGACTCATTGCGGTCCCTTCCAATCAAGTATCCTACTTCTGCAGGATCTGTAGGAAAAAGCAGTTTTCTGTAGGGTTCCTGCTACTTATGAAGTATCGGATAGAAGCATTGCAAAAGGCTATTTCAGGCTCTTTATATAATATTATAATATATACGATTTAAAATATATGTATATTTATATGCCATCCAGAACTATAGTGGGGGTCGGGACGATTATAGATAATGAACTTAATTACAACACTTAGTGTCGCCAAATTTTATATTTGTTGAATGTGTTGCTCAGACACTTGCTATTTTTTGTAGAGTGCAAAGGTGTGAGGTAGATTCATCTACACATTCAAATTGCAATTCCACTCACCGCAAGCCTTAACATGCCTTCCGCAACTGGTGTCTCATCTTCGAGCCGTGCTTATTCACGCTCTCCCACCGGGGGGGGGGGGGGGGGGAGGAACTATTTCTCCTGGCGCAGCCAGCCAGTTGTGGAGAGTGAAAGGTTTCTACATCACCGCTTAGCAACCGTAAACGCTGAAACGCATCAAGCAAAAGCCGGCGATGAAAACAAAAGCACGTGAGCAGCTGTCTTGACCAATCCTGGAACGGGGAGGTCAGTTAAGAAACCAATAGAACGCAAGAATTCGAACACGGCAGGATTGTGACGGCGTAGATGGAACCTTTCGAGGTGCTGCAAGGAGCTATTCTGCCTCCTGCCAGCGCAACTTCAACTGGCGATGGGACTAAATGCTAGAGCGCCGTCTGAGAGCAGAATCGGGGCAGCTGAGGTCCAGGACGATGTACACAGAACCCTTTAGATAGGAGTGGGTCATTTTAGAAGGCAAGGGGAGGAATGTCACTGGAGCAAAACAGGGGGAAAAAATCCCCAAATGTTCTTCAGTGAAGTATATATGACGAGAACCTGTTAGGATAGATTTCTGATGTTCCAAATTGATCTTTCTAGTGCAGAAGGGCGATCTTTTATTTAACGCATTGTTTCCCAAGCCCAATTTTTTCCCTGAGGATTAGTGCGCGATTTCTCTATTTTTAAAAATAAGGCATAGCTGTGCCCCATACCTAATTAAACTTCCCAAACGGGCGGAGAAATGGCCCTCAAAGTTAGTTTGTATGAGCTGGCAGACCTTTCCATAGGGACTCCGGAGATCGGCGTTGTCAATTTTAATGCCCTGCATACTCTCCTCCATGCCCTCCTCAGACATCTTAAACTTGAGGATATTTTCACTGAGATTAAGCAGGACTGGGGCGCTCCACCCCCACCAGCCTCCGTTCTTGAGGAACGGGTGTCTGTTGAGAAGGGACTTGAGGATGTGACTAAACCGCCCAGGGAAGGTCCTGCTCGGCTGGCTGACTTGGAAAAGAAACTGCTTCTGTTGGAGAATAACCTCCAGGGTGTGGAGGGTCAGGTCCGTGGTGTGGAGGATCAGGTCCGTGGTGTGGAGGATCAGGTTCAGGGGGTGCAAGACAGTGTACAAGGGATGGGTAAAAAACTGAAAGGGTTCCAGAAACAAGTCACTGGTCTGGATAGGCTGCCTTCCGGGACTGACTTGCTGGAGAAGACCAAGAGCGGCAGTGGCACTGCAGTGGCCGACATGTGGCAAATGATGCAGATGCAGAAGAAGGTGGAAGCCAACGAGGAAGGCATCGCACAGGTAGGTCTTTCAAACTGAATCCTAAGGGGTTGACAAGATCATAGAGGGTTTCACCAAGACGAGACAGCCACAGTATTTCATAATATTTTGTGCGTTTCTTTACTTCATTTATACACTACCTTTCTCTCCAGTGGGGACCCGAGGTGGCTTACATCTCCTTTCCTCCATTTTATCCTCAGAACAACCACCCTGTGAGGTAGGTTAGGCTGAGAGTGTGTGACTGGCCCAAGGTCACCCAACAAACTTCCATGGTTTTCCCAGTTCTTTGACACTCTAACCACTGCAACCACACTGGCTTTCCAGTGCGTACTTTCCAGTGCGTAGGGGAGTTACTGTTTAGGGAAAGCACTAGCTGTGTTTTAGAGATTACAGGATTGTTCCTCAGGAGCACCTCACAAAGATAATTGGTTATTATTTATTATATATTATAAGTAACCACAACAAATCTTAAAGTACACTGCTATTTAAAACAGATTGATCTTTAATATAACCCCTGGCATTGAATCTTGCTGTAAATCTTCTCAACACCACTGTTAAATCTCCTCCCTCCACCTTTCCTGACATGGCACTCATAGCTAGTGCGTGTGTTTTGAGGCATGCTCATAGCCATTACATTTAGGGTCAAGAATACATTGCTTCAGAAGTCAAATCAGTGGGTGAGTTTCAACTGTAGCCCTTTCCTAACATCATCAGGTATTGGGAAGAACAGGCACAATGTGACATGGAAGAGTCCTTCACTGACATTTTTGGTTGTGCAAACAGAATAAGTTGTGTTGGTCCTGCTGTAGTTCCATTCTGCCAGGCAGACAGACTGGCAGGTGGGCAAGTGAGAAGCCAGCACGGGCTTGTGGAAATTGGGTGTACTTAAGTGACAGCATCCACCTCCAAAGTTCTCTAACATCTCAGCTTCACTGCCTCTTCTGTATAAAACAAATATTTTTAAAAAACCGAATAAATGACCACCCAGAGTTGTGAGGATTATAAAGAAGAGGTTTGTAAAGTACACATAAAAGGGGATATAAATTATTATCAGGTCATGATAACCATTCTCAGAAGCCCAACCAACATTGCACCCAGTCATCATGTATTACGATGTGTCTGGGACAGAACTTGACTAAATTAGGTAAAGAGGGAAAATGTGAAAGGAGGGAACTGGGTAAGGAGGGAAAATTTAAGTATTCCCCTGTCATGACCCCAGTGTGTTGCCACCTTCTGCCGCCACCTCCCTTTAGACTTAGGTCCCTTGAGAAGGCCCAGGGTACCCTCTCAAGCCCCTTCAAATTGCCCCTTTGTAGCCGAGAAACGTAAGCGTGATGACCAGGCAGAGAAACGATTGAACAAAAAGGGTTTATTATCACAGTACTGGGGGCAAGGAAAACAAGACAAAGTGCTTTAAAAGGTATAACAGTGTTTAAAAGGCAAAATAAACACAAAGCTAACGCAGCTACCTATTACTCCCAACTGGCTACTACTTCCAGGCCCACAGCCTGCCTTTTACACCAGGCTACGCTACCTGTTCCCACTCTGTCCCAGTGAGGAATCTTGCTCTCCCCCAAACCAGCCTGTCCCCTCAGTGAGACCAGGCCACAGAGAGACGACAGCAGTGAGGGATCTTTCTCTCCCCAGACCAGCCTGTCCCCGTAGTGGCCAGGCCGCAGAGAGAGACGAAAGAACCCTGTTTCCCACAGTTAACAGCTTAAGACAGATTCTTCTCACAGAATCTCTGCACTCTGATTGACTATAACCCTCTCTAAGCATTAGGGGGATTGTAGGCTGCCTGCTTTCTACTGCCAACAGGTCTCTCCTGGGACCAGGCCACACTAGGCCTTGCTCCCAGTCCTGCACCGATCATGACACCCCCGTATAGTTTTTTCAACATTTCAGATTTTTCTGCACACCTGAGGAGTGCCCCAAGCATGCAGGAAAATCTCTTTGCCCCCTATGTGCCCCATGTGCGGATTTAGATATCTGCACAGAGGGAGCATCTTGGCTATTAGATATGTAGATTCATGCATTTGAAAAACTGTTTGTACCCACTCTGTGATGTCTTACAGAACATTTTGTGCTTCTTATAAGTCATAGATAAGACTATTCTGCTACAGCTCACAGAAATTTTGTGGATCTATTAGTTATGTCTACTTAGTTACAGAATGAGAGGGGAAAGTTTGGCGGGGAGGGCTGGCTATAAATCCAATAAATAAATAAGTTATAGTTAGTGGGGTCAACAACCTTGTATTCTTCTCCCCCCCCCCCCCCATCCTTTCCTGTATTAGAGCTGAAGACAACTAGGGCAACTTGAACCGTGAGGTATGCCAAGAATGGCCCCCAGCAGAGATAATCTTTGCAATAGGCAACTGCTGAACTGGTTGCAATACCCTACTTTCCTTGAGAACTTTCTCTTAATTGCAGGGACATTAGCTGCTCAGTAATGCACCAGTGAACATGGCAGGTGGTGGCGCATCTCTTCCTGCTGTTTGTGCTGAGATCCCAACATTGTGCACTTTTTGGTGTCGTGGTTAAGAGCGGCAGATTGCAATCTGGAGAACCGGATTTGATTCCCCACTCCTCCACATGCAGGCAGCTGGGTGACCTTGGGTCAGCCACAGTTCTCTCAGAGCTGTTCTCTCAAGCGCAGTCCACTCAGAGCTCTCTCATCCCCGCCTACCAAACAGAGTGTCTGTTGTGGGGAGCAGAAGAGACGAAGATTGTAAGCTGCTTGGAGACTCCAAGTGAAGGGCGGGGTATAAATCCAATCTCTTTTCTTTC